CGTAGGCTTGGTCACTGGATAATGCTCCTCGAAGGTCTCAAAGTTTTGCTTTCCACTCGACACGGGCCGTTGCAGCAGAGATCCACCCAAAGCGAAGCGACTGCCCACTCCCTGTTTCCTCTGTGCTGCCGTCTTCAGCAGAAACTTGTAGAAGAGTCCGCAGGCGAGTTTGCGTCGGTACACAGGCGAGGCATCGGGCAGCACCTCATCGGGTTTCAGAATAGTCGACAGTTGGCCAAAGGCTTGCTCCACCAGTCCATTCTCATAGGGATTGCGTCCCAGCAGCAGCTTCTCAATGGCCGTGGCATGGACAAACTCCGGATTGATGCCACCAAAGCAAATCCTCGCAGTCTTCACCTTTGAAGCGTTGTCCAACTCGAGCAGGAAAGCGGCATTGACATAGGCATGAGCATTCTGTGCACGTGGCATGATCTAAGGATAGGGAAACAAGTGAGTTACATAACTATAAGGTTATCTATCCTCTGATAGATCTCACCTTGTAGGAGTCGAACAGAAAACGATCCTTGGGGTACGCAGGGAGAACTATTCCCCTTATGATCTTTCCCTCCATCGGTGTCTTCAGATAGCTGGCGAGGCTGACAGTCGCCTGCTTGACCAACGATTCCTGGACAATCACCTGTGCGTCCAGGGCCTCGAGGACAATGAACACGTCCGAGGGGAACTCCGGGTGGGCATGCTTGATGGCCAGATTGCCCGCCAAGGTGCCGGCCTGGGTTAATGAAAAACAAATTGATAAGCGACAAGCGATAATTCGAGTAGCTGGAGAAGAGCTTACAGCTTATCAGGCAGATAACTAGACACTTGTCCATCGACTTACATTGCGAACGGGAACGTTGGCGATCCAATCGAGGTGCTGCCACACCTGGGCCAGGTACTCGAAGTCTTTGGTCTGCTCCAGCTGTCGGCAAATGTCCATCGTTTCAGTGAGGCTCAAGTTACCCCCGAGGGTGAGGGAGCCAGCATCCAGCTTGTGTCCCTTGAGCTCTGCCAAACCTCCCACATCGATGAATGCCTTGATGTCCGCACTGCGGCGGTACACCCCGTGGGCCGTGTTGCCGGCCACCAGCATGATGGGCAGCTTCTCTTTGACGGCGCTCTGCAGGGCTTCAAAGAGCTGGCTGAGGCTCTCGGGCCAGCTCCAGCGGCTGCCATCGAGGTAGATCTGACTCCCCTTGGGCGACTGCTTCTTGCAGGTGCCGGCGCACTGCTTGCCCGTCTTGGGGCACTGCTTTGTGCTCAGATCCTCAATGTCCGCACACTCCGTGGGAATCTGAATGTTGCTGTCCACCGCAAAGGACTTCATGGCATCCAGAATGGGGCGGTAGCCGGTGCAGCGGCAGATGTTGCCTCCGAAGGAGTTCTCCACCTCCTCCATGGTCACGCGACCCCCCTTCGACTTGAGCAGCCCGTACATGTTCATGACGATGCCCGGCGAGCAGTAGCCGCACTGGGTGCCGTTCATCTTGGCCAGCCGCTCCTGGATGGCATGGTAGCCCACCCGCTTGTTGCCCAGACCCTCTGCGGTGGTCACCTCCAGTCCCAGGCAGGTGTTCAGCAGCGTGAGGCACGAGTTCACGGCCCAGGTGCGCACCTCACCCGCCTCCGGATGGATGCCGGTCAGAGTGCACACGCAGACGCCGCATCCGCCCTCCTGGCACATGAACTTCGTGGCCGTCAGACCGGCATGCTCTCGGATGAAGGTGTTCAGCGAGATGTCCGCAGGCAGGGCAGCCAGATTAACTGTTGGGAGAGAAAATATTTTATTAGATTAGTGGGCCAGTCGGTCCGTCTGTATTTAATCTAATCTAATGTATCTACAACTAAAACACTTGAACTTTTTTTAAACTGCTAAATGTAGAGTCACTCTTTTAGCATTAATACCAAATATAATTTCATACTATTTATAAGACACAAATTTCATGTTTTCTGGAGTCTTTTCGACACTTTAATAGCATTTTAATGAGTGTTCAGATGTCGAAAAGTAATTTGGACATAGATATACATACATATATACATATATATACATAGAAATGTCATGATTATCTACAAGCATATTACCATCTAATATTGACAGAATTTTGTGCATGTCATTATCTGATAATAACTAACTTAACGACCTGATAAATACAACCTTCCCAAATAGGTCAAATTAGCTCTTCCATACAAAATATTCCACTTTTAAGTGTATTGTAATACAAAAATAACACCAAAAATATGAGTAACGTGTTTGTAGTTTGTTTTATCTTTTCGATGGCACTTCAATCAAGAAATCAAAACCAACAACACACACTCACCGTCATAGCTGTTGCCGTTGATTGTAATACTGCCAGCCATTATCGGTGTCTTATATA